TATATATATACAATTGATCTATGTTTGATATCTTCCACAGGAAACATGGTCCTTGTATGTTATAAGTGGCTCCTTCACCTCTTTAAGAAAATAATGGGTGACCATAATATTAATGCTGCTGATGATAACAAGTGGTCGAGGTTGATTTTCGGATCGTCGTCGTCATCGGGCAGACCAGTAACTCTTCGCTGTTTCTGTTGTTCCGGTAATTGTTGTAGTCCCGAACATATAAGGATTTCAATCATCAATGGGCAGTCTGAAAAGGAGTGTAGGATAAAGGGCCTCAAGTCAATACAAGATGCGTATGTCGTCGGTTGTTGCAATGGATTAGCTTTGTTCCACTCGACTAGTCCTTCATCCCTAGACATTGTCGTCAACCCTTCGTCAAACGGAATACAACAAAAAATATACGGTCCTTTTAGAGAAGGTCACTTATGCGACTTTTTCTATCATCCTTTGGCAAAGGAATATGGGATTCTTAATGTGCTTAAAAATGGAGGAGAATTGAGAATCGACACTTCTCTCGCATACCTAAACACTCGAGGAATGTAAGAAGTAGAGACCGCGTTGATGGTAATCCGGCAAACGTGAATGATGCTTTGCATTGGGACATAGGTGAAATCATGGTGTTTGATATTATTAATGAAGAGTTCTCGATTAGGGTTCTTCCTTTCGAAGGTGACTATCATCAAGGAGGTTGCTTCGTACGACATCTTTTGGTGAAAGACGATCGATTGTGTTTTTGCATTATGGGCATGAAGCTCCGTTAATGGATATGTGGATATTGGAGGACTATGCGAAGTGGCGTTGTGTTAGAAAGTATACCGTGTTAGAGTAGGTGATCAACAAGCCAACTTGTGGTTGTGGTCTTTCATTTGTTCTTGTAATAAATAATCATGTTTCGTATTAATGATAAAACACCTTGACATTCTATATCTTTGTCCCTTGCATAAGCACATGTATAGTCATTACAGTTATTATAATTACTTATATTTGATCTATCAGAATCATGAAATATTTACTTAAGTATTATAACTGTTAAACCATGTTCCTAGTGGAAAGATTACGCCACTAATGAGGATATCGGCATTTTCCATTAAGAAACTAGCTCTTAGTATATGTGTACTGCGTCTCATCAGTAAATGGTATTGTGATATCGGCATACATAAGTGGGTGCTTGTAAGTTGACGAGTTCATTGAACTCCCTCATCGTAGAAATCTCTAAGTGGTTCTTAATAATCGAGTAGAGATCTCTATGATATACGTGTCCACCAGTAGTCCTTAAGACCTAGATATCACTGTGACTTCACTAGGGGACCAGTTGTATCGTGACCTGTCCCTGAGTTCTACCGAGGACCGCCCCAAGGGCTAGTGTTCGTGCAGTCCGAAATTAGTGGGAGGTCTGTGCGTTGTAGTCGGGGATTTGATCGCTAGAATAGTCTTGAATGTCTTGTGTGTTCTCATAGTTTGTAATCTTTAAGTCTCTGGCTAGAGCTGACTAAAGGGAATTTGATTATCTAAGTCATGCACATATCGATTACAACACTTAGAACGATCGCATAGTTATTAAACTATAAAGGAGGTCTCGATGAACCAATGTCTCTAGTTCAATCGGGACATATGTATCGAAGGGATCGTACTGTACGTTAACTATATCACACGGTTCATTTATTTAGCCCACCGCCCCTTGAACGAGATAAATCCGTTGACTTGAAAGAAATAACTAAACTACCCGTAATTAAATATACAAATAAATAACAAAATATAATTAAACATTAAGAAAGAAAATTAAAATTAAAATTAAAAGAACTTAGTGGCCCCTCCCTCCACACAAAAAAAAAAAAAAAAAAACCATATGATGAGGCCCATTTGGACCCCTCAAGTATTTCTGTATATTTGTATGTATATTTATGCTTGTGTGTATAGTACGATGTGAGTGTGTGTTGGAGGTGTGAGTGTGTGTTTCTCTCTGCCCCCATTTTTTCCAGCAGAGGCCCTCATCTCTCTCTCCTTCCTTCATTTACCCCTCATTTGTCTTGGGTGGCGTGCCCAAAAAGATATTATGGGGAGTGGGCCCTCATATTTTAATTGGGCCGGGGCTGTTATCTTGGAAGTTTGGGCTTTGGTTTTGGGCCTAGGACAAATTTGTCCGGATCATCTACTCCCCCCAGTTCGTCACGAGGAGTGCGGAGTAACTAGTCGTGGCGAACTACTCTCTCGAGATGCTTTAACGAGGTAAAGAAATCGAACCAATCTACTCCCCCCGATTCGTCAGAAGAGGCGCGAAGTAACTAGTCACCCTGAGTTTGGTTTTTCTCTTTTTTTTTTTCTTTTCACTATGTATTTTACGACGTACCCTTCTTTTTTTCGGATGCGAGATGCCTCGTCTTACTTTGGATGCGAGATACCTCGTCACACTCAGGATGCGAGATATCTCGTCTTACTCAGGATGCGAGATACCTCGTCATACTTCGGATGCGAGATACCTCGTCTTTACTTTGGATGCGAGATACCTCGTCATACTTCGGATGCGAGATACCACGTCTTACTCTTATTTTAGTGCGAGATACCTCGTCTTACTCTCTTTTGAATGCGAGATACCTCGTCTTACTTCTCTTTTGGATGCGAGATACCTCGTCTTACTCATCTTTTGGATGCGAGATACCTCGTCTTACTCCTCTTTTGAATGCGAGATACCTCGTCTTACTTCTCTTTTGAATGCGAGATACCTCGTCTTACTTCTCTTTTGGATGCGAGATACCTCGTCTTACTCCTCTTTTGGATGCGAGATACCTCGTCTTACTCCTCTTTTGAATGCGAGATACCTCGTCTTACTCCTCTTTTAGATGCGAGATACCTCGTCTTACTCTCTTTTGAATGCGAGATACCTCGTCTTACTTCTCTTTTGGATGCGAGATTTGGATGCGAGATACATCGTCTTACTCCTCTTTTGAATGCGAGATACCTCATCACACTCAGGATGCGAGATACCTCGTCTTACTCCTCTTTTGAATGCGAGATACCTCGTCTTACTTCTCTTTTGAATGCGAGATACCTCGTCTTACTTCTCTTTTGGATACGAGATACCTCGTCTTACTCCTCTTTTGAATGCGAGATACCTCGTCACACTCAGGATGCAAGATACCTCGTCACACTCAGGATGCGAGATACCTCATCTTACTCCTCTTTCGTGCGGGGTCGATTCCGACCCCGTCTTTTC